CCACTTGGATAGCCAGCCAGTCCTTTCCTTAGCATCTTAAAGCTAAATGGGTCTGATCTGGCCCCTCTGGTCCTGAACCCCAACATTTTAAAGAAAACCCATGAGATGATGCCCAGGCTGTGCTGGGTGTTTCTGGTCCCTGGGACTGCCTGGGAATTGTGGGTAAGGGGGTGGGCTCCTGCATCCCTCCAGTGCCCACGGGCCCCGAGGCATGGGCAGGTTACATTACCTGGGTTCCCATTTAGCCTTCACAGCAACGCTGCTCCTAGGCACCCGGGTATGCTCCTCATTTTGTAGACGAGAAGCTCCGGCTCCGAGAGATCAGCTTCCCCGCTAGTGGAACAGAGAAGGGCTGGATGCCACCCAGGTCCTCTGGTTTCAAAGCCCGGGCCTTTCCACACCACTCCATTTCATTCGCAGTTAGGTCTGATGGCTGTAGCAGGCTTTGTGAACTTGTTACCTTTATCATAGCTCCGTGCTCTTTCTGAACTCAGTCTATATCCTACATCTTTCATGTTCAAGACTGTCTTTCCCACCTTTCTATATCTCAAAAACTAAAAATCCCCCCCTTATTTCTACATTTCACCAGAGATTTTAAAACATTCTAAAAGCACAAATAAATACATATGTTCATTCCCATCGTTACTCTAGGGAATAAAATGTTCATTTTTTTTTGGAGGCGAGTGCAGAGCCGCTAGGGACCCTACCCGAGCACTTTTTAGTCTATAAAACACTTTGAAATGTGGCCAGAATGCTGCCAAGTGCTAGTGGAGACAGAACAGGGTACTAGGGGGCTTTGAAGGTGGTCTCTGCCCCAATTCGGGGGTCACTCTGACACTGACAATCAGAGGCTCCCACGGGGCAGGCAGAACACAGCACACACTATGCTCCGCCCATCAAAAACGTTTCGACGGAGAGTTGAGTTAATCATGTGACTTCGACCCTGCATGGTGTCTTCACTGGTCTCTGCAAGACTCCTCTCTTGAATGTGTGAAGGTGTGTCTGTCTTTTCATTTTTATACCCTACTCTCTTTCCTCCTCTCATCTCAATGTGCCTTTCTTGTTTGTGTGCTTGCAAAATAGGTGTGGTTGTTTTGTGTGCATGCATTTTTAATTGATGCAAATGGTGTTGATTATAAGCACCGTTTTCTTATTTTTACCCCAGCACTAGGTTTTTAAGGTCTATCCTCATTGCTACGTGTATAGTACTGAGGGTCTACCTGCAGGGTAGGACTCCTCGGTGTGTCCCACCCGCTTTGTCTCTGCGTCACGACAGGTGCTGTGGTGACCAGCCTTCCTGGTGGCCCACCGTGGACACGGGATGCTTTCCCTGGGAACTGCATGTACTCTGGAGGGCGATTTCTAGGTCACAGGGGGTGTTTACACTTATCCTGAGGACCTGTTCTCCTAATATATGCACTGGTCAACTTCCCACTAGCGTAGTACATGGCCCAGTTTGTAAGTGTTCTGTGGGTGCTTAAAAAGAATGTGTTCTCTATTTGTTCTTTTGGGGATGGCGAGATGTGGAGTGGGAGGGTTCAGAACCCTAGATGTATATAGTAGCTCAGTCTTTTTTTATAAAAAATATACTCTTACTGATTTTAGAAAGGAAGGGAGAGGGAGAGAGAGATAGAAACATCAATGATGAGAGAGAATCATCAATCTATTGGCTGTCTTCCGCACACCCGCCACTGGGGATTGAACCTGCAGCCTGGGCGTGTGCCCTGACCAGAATCGAACCATGACCTACTGATTCATAGGTCGATGCTCAACCACCCAGCCATGTCAGCTGGGCTAGCTCACTCTTATTAATTCTATTGTTTAGCTCCCTGATATCTCTGTTCATTTTTTTTTTGGTTCTCTTGGCGTACCATTTTCTAAGGTTTTGGTAAAATTTTAGCTACAATGATGGAATTATTTACTACTCTCTGCAGTTCAGTCAATTGTTGCCTGATGTGTTTTGAGGCTGGTTGTTTAGTACATATGTGTTTATAATTATGATGTACTCTTGCCCTATTACTTGTTTATATCATTCTTTGTACTTACCTTTTTTTGCCTTAAATTTTACTGTTCAAGCTATTATGGTTGATACCTGAGATTTCTTTTAGTCCATACTTGTTTAGTATGTCTTATTGCATCTTTGTATTTAGACATTTTGTGTCTTGCTGCGAAAATCAAATTGTTAGCTCTTTTTAAATAAAAGTACAACCCTTGCATCTCTGTCTTCCAGGGGTAAATTTATCTCTGCTAACGCATTTTGTCAATTACTGTCATATTATGACTAAGTTCTGTCTTCTGTTTATATTTTGTACTTACTGTCTTTTTTCAGGCGACTTTCTAGAATGCTCTTCTCTTTTTTTTTGCTTTCCATTGGAAAGAAAATTTTCTTCCAGTTCAAAACTTATGTTTCTAATTTTGTTCTCATAGTGGTTGCCCTTATTCCTCCTGTGGGCTTTCTAAACTTATCAACTTTGTACAAATGAAGTCCTCTAACCCGCTCTCCTGCCTCTTTTGTCTCCCTTCCTGCCATCATGTAATATTCCGGTTCTAGGTTGTTACAAGTATATTTCTTATATTTCTCTCCTTTGGTCCTAGGCATTACCAAGGTATTTGATCACGCTACAGTATTCTTGTGTCTCTTGTATCATTTCCTATATTTGTTTTTCTTCTATTTGTAGTGTTGTCAGTGTAGGGCTCTGTGGGTAAGTCTTTGGAGGTCCTTCTATGCCAGAGGACATTTTTGTTATTCTCTTAAATGCCTTTTGTATGTGCAATGGCATCCGTGTAGGATTGTTAGATTGAATCTTCTGGCTCTGGTCTCTGAGAATCTGGTTAGGAGCCCTGCAATTGTCCTCTTTTCTTCCCACCAAATTGGCTGGTCAGTGTTGTGCTGGTAAGCTGGCTATCTGGGGGAAAGAGCCCAGATCTGTAGTTTGCCAATTACTGTGGTGTAAAGACTCCTACCATGCTGATTTCAAGCTACCCATGTGATGTCACTGATTACAGCCTTGGGAGAAATGCACTCATGTGCACCATCAGCTCTCAGGAGCTGGCGCCAACTGGCTCCCTCTCTCCTCTGTTGACGCCTAATTGACGCCTAATTAAAGTGCTGGAATAGATTCCTGTGGTCATCCGTACATTTTCATAAGTCAAATTCTTTTGTCTATTTCCATCCTGCTTGTTATCCTTGGCCAATTCAATTTGCTTTATAGGTGAGGCTATAGAAATACTTAGAAGAGCTAAGGGGATTTGTTAGTGGTCAATAATCAGAAAGGCATGCACGAGGAGGTTTCCTGCTCTTAATAAAACCAGATTATAACACTTTGGTGGAAAATGCAGGAAAAGTGGTATTTTAATAGTTCTATGTCATCACTTAGAGGTTCTGGGGCAGCTGAGTGAGCTGGGAGCATAAACAGCCTTTTGGAGACATTCCTGGATGCTTAATCCTCAGGGAGTCACAACTCCATCATCATTAAAATGCAGCCTGAGACCTTCTTGGCCCCAAGGTGTGACCACAGACTCAGAAGTAGACTCTGGAGTGTGACTCTCTCCCTTTTCTTAGGTGGGAGATTTATTTCCAGCGAGAAGTGTTCCATTTTCCTGGCAAGTCATCACTGGCTAGATAGGATCTGGAAGACAAATAGGCAGCCCAGGGCTGTTGGGCTGGCAGACCATGGCTGGGATCTCAGGGCAGGCAGAGAAGAGAAGAGGAGAGGAGAGGAGAGGGGAGGGAGGAAGGAGAGGAGAGGAGAGGAGAGAGGAGCGAGGAGAAGGCCAGAGGAGGGAATCAGAGGTGCTGCTGTGGTTTGATGACAGGACACTGGAGTGGACAGTGAGAGGGCTGCTGCTTGTCTGCATGACTTTGGGGATGAGAGAGGAGAGGAGAGGAGAGGAGAGGAGAGGAGAGAAGAGAAGAGAAGAGAAGAGAAGAGAAGAGAAGAGAAGAGAGAAATGTGGACACCAGCTTTCTCTATATGATGGATTTTAGTCAAATGTAATTTTTTCCTTAAAGCTGCATTTCTAGAGGGTCTGTCCCCCCCCCCCGCCTCTTTTCTACACCCTCATCTAATGTCATCATCCCATCATTCTAAATTGGAGGTGTGTGAAGTGAGGGGGTCCCACTGGAGGGCTGTGAGAGGCTCATCCTCCCTTCTCTGGGGGAGCCGTGGGAAGGCTGAGCACCTGACTTCATCAAGGGGTCCCGTGCTTTAGGAGCGCAATGCTATGACCAGCGCAATGAAATAACACAAGGGTTCGCATTTGTAATTTTGGGGGTGCAAGACTAAAAAACTATGCCCTAAAGAGTGAGCTGGGTTAACAACCTATATTTTAACTCAAGAAGAAAAAATGACCACTGTCGTTTTTGTGATTCCCTTTGCAAGCAAATCAAACCCTCCCCTGAGAATTTTTCACTCGTTTTTCATCTCATTTCAGACACATGCTTGACTATGGCAAACCCCTCAAGAGGGCAATGTGTGAACATGTAGGTGAGTGCATTTTAAGAAAACTCCGATCCTAATTTGCAAACTTAACAGTTTAATGAGAGTATGTTTATGTCTATTACAAAAAGCAACACTTTTGTTTAAAATGATTTGAATGTTGAAAAAGATCAGTTTTCATTGTACGATATTTCCAGAAACATTTCTGTTTTGTAAAGAAAGGCACGTTGACATTCCTAACCCCAAGTCTGGAGAACCTCTCATGACTCAAGAACAAATCTCCACAGATCTTTAAAATTGTTCTACCTCTTCTCCAGGTAACCCTCCATCTCTTGCTTCACTCAAAGTAATTACTTGTTGGTCATGCTGATTTTGTCAGTTTACAGGAGAGAGAGCTGAATCAACACTTCTCAGGTGGAAGGGACCATAGAGTCCCTCCCTGTCATGAAACTAATAAGAAATTGAGGCTGAGAGAGGGGGTGGACTCACCCAGGTGGTAGGAGTGCGTTAGTGTCAGAGCCGGGGTAGAACCAGCCCTTTTGCCTTCTAGGCTAATGCATATTTCCTGACACTGTGCATCGCTGCATTAGATGACGAGTTGGATGACATGTCACCAACTACTGTCCCCTTCTTGGTGAGTTCTCTTTAGGGATGTGGCTTATTTTGCAGAAAAGGAAAAACTCCCCTCAAAGGAAGCTCTTCTGCAGTGAGTTGAGCAAAGTCTAAACTAATCATGTCTTTGATAAGCATTGTGTTTCTTAGAACAGAGAGGTTCCTGAATGGTGACTACACAATATTTCCCTGTGCTTGGGAATAAGTGGGGTTAGGCTTGCTGGGGGAGAATCATAGACGGACAGCAGGGGAGGTGAAGTGGCCTTCAGCTTGGGGACCTGCACAGCCTGCTGAAGGCTGAATTTACAGTGATGTGTTTTGGAAAGGGCAACTTAGGAGACATCATAGGCCTGGTACTTTGTTATGGTTGATGGTCTTCTGTTCTTCTCCTGGGACAGGTAATAGATCCGGTTGGCCTCTGGGTAGGTGACTTTGCTGAGTGGAAGCTTGTAGATGGCAGGGTTGTTGGTCGTCAGGAGCAGGAAGGTTAGCGCCGAGAGGCAGAAGGGCCAGGTGCAGGGCGGTAATCCAAACTGGGGGGAAGGAGAACATAAGAGAAGCCTTGGTGACATCAGATACTTGTGCCTGTTTCATCAGCCCTTACTGAACACCGTCAGCCCTGGGTAGAGGAGGCGATGCTTCATGTCGTTGATAGGAATAATATTTCTGACCAGCATAAATAAAATCATGCAGTGGTGTCAGTCTGAAGTGTAACAGGTGAGCAAACGTGCTTCGAAATGCAGTCACTGGAACCCTATTATAACATGCCTTTATGTAGGAGACATGTTTTGTTTTGGGTTATCGGGCCAACCTATACCTCAAGGAATTGTGGCCATTCCTGCCTTCTCCCATAGCCCCTGCTGAAGGAATGAATGGCTTTGGCAGTTATTTTGTAGTTCAAGGCCTTTTTTCTTTAGTCACAGCTGATTGGACCAGAGACAGACACCTGAATCAAGTGCAGCTTGCCATAGGCAGATGTCCTGGGAATAGAACCCCTCTCCTGAGAATTTGAACTAAGAGGCACAGATACTGTGTCTAGAGGCTCTGGTCTGGGTGGTCATTTGGGGGCTGCATGCAGCAGCAGAAGCCCATCCCAGAGAGACACAGGGAAACGGAGCAGACGGGAGGGAGCAGAGATGTGATATCTTAGTCCCAAGGGCTGGAGTTGGAGAGCAGCTACCTCTCTTCTCAAGGCTTACCCATTCCCAGCTTCCTTTCGCATGATGTTGACCTGTGTTTTATTCCTTAAGATTCCCAAAGCTTTTAAATACCCCTCTCCAATCTGTTTGAGATAACTTGAACGGATAGCTTGCTAACATAAAGCCTGCAAATTCTGCTAGGAGGCAAATCAAAGCATGCCCCCTCACCCCCAAATATCATTTTATTATATGGAATAAAGACCTCAGGTAATACTATGGGGGTAACAATGCTATCATATGTGTGTTCAAGATGGCACTGTTGCACTACCTTAGGGTTTCATCCATTCAGCATTTCTTGAGCACCTACTATATGCTGGGTACTGTAATAGGTACTAGAGAGAAAGATGAGAATGTGACTGGGTCCCTGTTCTGAAGGGGCACACAAGCTGAAGGTGGAAGAGGACCAAAGTGTTTTTGTCATCACAGTGCTGAATGTCACATGTAGCAGATGCATGTACAAACTTGGATGGGGCTCAGAGGAGGGACTTAACCCATTGGGGGACACAGGATGGTATCAGGGAAGACTAATTCTATGCTTAGAAAATTCTTTTCCATACTAAGTCCAAACTGCCCAAGTTTACGAAGGAGGGATGTAGATAGGTGTGAATAGAACACCCAGCCCCATCTTCATCCGCAGGACCAACAGGACTTTCCTGGTTGCCCGTGTGAGATGTGCTCTTGAACCCTTATTCAAGAGGGGGAGGCATCGGCTGCAGGCTGAGCCTTGAGCACTCTGAGCTGGGGCCTGGGACTCTCCCTGTGTATGAGGGGGTCTGGCGCTGGCCATGTGGTGCCCCCTGACCTCACACACCACCCTTCACGGTGCTCAGAGAAGGGGCTCTCAGGGGCTGCATGTGCCCATAGCCACCAGCTCTAGCCTCTCTCAGGCTTGACCGGGGCTCGGCTCCTGTCTTCCCTGAACCTCCACTCAGGACCATGACACCGTGCTAGTTACTACGAACAAACAATTGGCCTATTAGCTAGTCAGGCAGATGATTTATAAACATACAAACATTAAATAATAAACATTTAAAACTAGTTCTAGAGGATGATAGAACCAGAGTTCTATCAGAAGGGAGTTTGCTTTATAAGATAATGCTCCTGAAATTGTCCTTCTATAAGGAGCTCAGCTGGCCCACTGATGATGGGATCAGACTGGCCGACACTTGACATTTAAGCTTGTGAGGCCCAGGTCCTTCGGTCCAGCAGGTACTGAGGTGAGTAGTGTGATTTGAGACAAGAGGGATGAATTAGGGAAGGCTCCCGGAGGAGGGGTTTTGTGTGACTTTGGGGAGACGAGAGAAGACCAGGAAGGGTGTGTGGCACATTCTTAGCTCACATGGACTCACCACAGACAGCATGTTGGCCAGGGCAGCACCCAGGTAGGCTGCAAACAGTGCTGGAAAAGAACCAAGAAATAGGTAAGTGACGAACAGTGCCTCAAGCTCCATCTACATATTCTCTCCCCCTAGAGTGCAGGCCACAAATGCTGTCTTGTACATGACAAAAATTGAATTCTGTTTCCATTGCCCGGCAGCTTAGAAAAGTGTTAAATTCCATGCAAATGCTGGCACCCCAAGGCAGCAGGTGAACTTCGTTAAAAAGGTCCAGCCTTGAGCTGTTACGGCTCTCTCGGGCCCCACCACCTTGCATTCCAGCAAAGGAACATTTAGCAGCATAAACCTTAAAGGAAAATTTTACTATACCGCCAAGGCGAGTGAATCCCAGAAATCCCTGCGGGTGTATTTCATCACGAGTTATGAACATAACATGGGCTTCCAGGCAGGAGCAGCATTCTGTAAACTTGAGGAAGAGCAACTATGCTGACTGCCTCATCGCCTAGGCCCTGCATGGGGAGGGCACGGCAGGCTGGCCCCTGGCAGGAGCCCACTGGCCACTGGTGAGGTTCTGTGAAAGTGGGCCCACGTAATTGGGCTTTGCTTTGGACCTTTAATTTCTCAAATAAATGCATCCCAATAGTTCCTAGGATGTTAACTACAGAGTAACTGAGCGCCCAGTTGGGCATAATCCTGACCACATCCTACACTGTGAGCATTATTTGAAGGTCCTAGGGGGTCAGTGTTTGGGTGCTTAAGGTTAATCGCTGTATCAGATGTAATTGCCCAACTCCAAGTATAAAGATACATTTGCACAAGAGCTGCTCTGTCGATTAGGTCCGATCACTAGCCAGGAAAGTAGCAATCACAGGAGACAGACACGAACAACAACCAAACAAGCACCATATAAAAAAAAATCTCTCCTCAAGTGGCTGGACACTGGGTTCATCAGAAAGAAATTTTAATGAATTCATCACTAAACAATCATTCAACAACAATTTTAAATAAAAACCTTTTATAAAGCAGACGATCATCCCATTTGTCTTTGAAGGATCGGCAGAATGTTCAGAGGGTGGTTTTCCTGGTGGGGATAGGCCCAGCCACCTTTTTTGGTGGAAAGGGGGTTCACGGGCAGTACCTACCGCAGGCGATGGCGAGGAGGTGCGTCTGCCAGGTGATGACGTAGAACATGCCCCCTATGGCGATGCAGGCGAGCGTGCTGTTGAAGCCACACAGGCCGAAGTAGATGGAGTCAAAGGGCGTTGCGATCGTGAGAGCTGCGAGAGAAGGCAGGCACCGTGTTGGCGTGGGCTCTCTGAGGCTCACCTGCCAGGCCCGAACCCACCATGGTCCTCGAAACCCAGCCTACGTATCCTCTGTGGCTTTTTATAAGAAAGAACTTAGGATTTTATTCAGCAAAAAAAAAAAAAAAACACCTAAAGGAAACAAGTGGCCGGAGAGCCACGTGAACACCAGTGGTGAAGCTGTTATGGGTAGAAGAGACCCTTTGAGTAAGAACTCTGAAATATGAAGTCCAGAGATGGTCCTTCCCTGGCCACAAAGAGGATGATGGCTCCTTCATTGATATCTTAATGTTCTCTAATGGAGAATACATCCTTCTTATCTTCACTAAATAGAAGACTTAAAATATAAACACGCCTGGAAGAAACCCCTCCCAAGCTTTAAATTTATACTAAGGTGTAAGTGACTAACACCAAAGCCTTTCTTGAGGGCAGCTTTTGCTCACAGTACCATAGGGCACTGGCACCAAAATAGAAAAAAACAACAACCCATGGTATAATAAAAGGAGGGAACGTTTAGAGAAATAAGCAGGTGAAACATTGAAGACACATGTCCCCATTTTCTTTGGAGTTGGTCTCAGGTCCCAACCAGGGCACTGGCACCAAAATAGAAAAAAAAACACCCATGGTATAATAAAAGGAGGGAACGTTTAAAGAAATAAGCAGGTGAAGCTCTGAAGACATGTGTCCCCATTTTCTTTGGAGTTGGTCTCAGGTCCCAACATCTTTATGGCCCCTGAATAAGGGAGAAGTGCTGACACTAACCTGCTAACATCCCCATGGTGGATCCAATGGCAGCGTGCAAGCAGATAAGAGGTGACGATATGAACAAGGCGATGAGGAAAATGCCTCCGGTCCAGGGGTTATCGCAGCCGTACACTTGGCCGATTCCAACAGGGATGGCTCTCAAAAGCTGTGGGCGCCACAGGCAAAGAGACAGCATTACCCTTGGCTGGAAAAGATTTGGCGCCAAACCCTCCACACTAACATTTTGCAACAGGTTTCCAAGGTGCTTTTATTCAAATAGGTTAACTCTAGAAGGAACACGAGCTTTATCGTTTTACTCTTGCATTCTTAGAACATTAGGGGTTAGGATGTAAAGATTCCTGGTGGGAGTTTTAAATCCTCCCTCTGACATTGACCACCTGTTTCCCCAAGGCTCTAATGAGATGGTCAACACAAAGCATATTCATCATGGCCATAATCCATTCAATTGTCCAGGAAGTTGTTTCTAAAGAATAATGACCCCAAATTGAATTTTTCTTTTCCTGGAACTTTGGGGGTTTTAATATATTTGTATAGAATTTCCTAATTTTTTTTTCTATTTCTCCAAAATTCCTACATAGCTTTTCCATTGAAAATGTGGCATGGAGAATGCAAAATACCTTAAATTAACCTTTTATAACATCATCTCCCTGTAGCACACCAATTAGAGTAATTTTGCCATCCAAAGACATCGGTGGGGTAAATACTATGAAAGGGAAGCCACAGGAGTGAATTGCCAATGTGGCACCTTTACTCACCTGTGGCTCATGAAGGTGTACACATGCACACGCACACGCACACATGCATGCACACACACACACACACACACACACCAACAAGGACGGGGCTAATATGAACATTTCTCTTCCTAAATAATGACACTTTTTGTGCACGTGCTGTCTGCTATGCCCTGCTGTTGGAGACTCTGGAACGCTAAGAGAAACTAGGCAACATTAGTTCTGAAAGTTCTTTCAACAAGGGCAAGGGGCTTTGTGGTTAGATGATGAATGGCCAATAACGGAGTTTCTGAGTGAGCCCAGTCTGGGTGGCGGGGGTTGGGGTGGCGGTGGTGGTGGTGGTGGTGGGAGCTGTTCAGAGTAATAGAAACTGGGGGTGGGGGGTGGGGGAGGCAGGGGAAGCTCAGAGAAAACGTGTCCACTTAGATAAGGAGGCTAATGCGCTCATTTCTCCAGGCTGCTTTAATGCTCTTGGTGTAGCCTCTTATTAATGATCTTGGCAGACTTCCAGAGGCCAGCGTTATACACAGAATACTTGTCGAAGACGTGAAAAGCGCTGTTATGAGTGCATGTCTTAATGGAGGAACACCTGTGCTTTCAAGTGTGAGCGCACCTCGGCCTCGGAGAGCAATTACGTGTGGAGGCTGGGGCCGACCTGCCTGGGCCAGTAGATGGCGGTGTGATGGGTACGTCTTTAATGATTCAATGAGAATGGATGAAAAATGCACAACATGAGCGGGATGGAAACTGGGATACAGCCTCTAAGAAACTCTACAAACAGGAAGAAGGAAAGAGCCCGGGTCCTGTGGACAGGAGGCCAGACTTCTAGTCTTGCCTTTGCCCTTCACTAATTTGCTGTGTGACCTTGACCTTAGGCAGTGTCTCCACCTGGCCTCAGTCTCTTCCTCTGTGGAACCAGCGGTGGCCTTTCTGGCTCTTAGTTAGAAAGAGAAAAGCACAGGATGGTGGCTCATGACAAACTGTATGTAGAGTGCCTCGTGCTGTAGAATAGCAGTTACGACGCGTGGACCTTTCTGATGTGCAAAATAAGTAAATGCCACTGTAACACTGCGTTTGCTGTCTTCCACCTTCCACAGTACCTACCAAAGGCACTTGGACCTCCGACCAGGTGATGTTGGGCACCGAGGAGGCAGGCTGCAGCAGGGTCGTGGGGAAGAAGAGGTTGTAGGGCCCCGTGGCCGCCAGGTACAGGGTCACCATGATGTTGAAGGGCAGCGTGAACACTGGGAGGTCCCACTTGCTGAAGATGGAGCCCAGGGCACTGGAGAGGATGGGGCTGGCGGCAGAAGCACAGGAGATGCTGTTCAGGGAGCCCCCGGCCCTGACCCTGGACTGAGCGGGAGCGCTCCCCGGGCCTCCCTGGGGAAAAGCACCCTCTCTGTGCCTGACTGGCCCTGAGCTGCAATTTCCCGGCCTCTTCCTCCCTGTCCCTGGCACAGCGGCAGGGTGATGCCCAGACTCAACTTGAGAAGGGGCGCTTTCTGGGGGAAGTCTGGAGGCAGGGAGTCACAGAACTTCCGTGGAAAGTCACACAGCTCTGTGTCCAGGCAAGAGGAGAGAGGGCAAGTTGGGGGAGTGATGGGGTAGGGATAGGGAATGGCATTCCTTCCTTCAACAAATGCTTGTTGAGAAGCTGAGAGCATGAGCCTCATGGGCAGAGTGTCTGTAGTTTCTAGAGGTGGAGGAGGAGCTGGGTCTGGTGCTCTCAGGGACGGCCCTGGGCCAGGCCCGGAGCTCACCGAGGGTGTAGGCCACTGAGGAGGTAGGCCTGGCCCTTCACCCTACACTGGGAGGTGGTCCCAGTTTGGTCAGGGGTCCCATGGACAGGGGAAAGCTGGGGTGGGGGTGGGTGGCAGCAGGAGGAATGAGAAGATTTGCAGCAACTGATGGGATCCCGTGGTGTGGCTCTTAACCTATACTGCCTTCATTTAATTTCCCCGGGCTCTGGTAGGGCAGGACCAGAAACCCTTTAGATCTTAAAAGAAGAAGAGGAAGGGATGGTAGGTAGGCGATGCTGTCTGGAGGCCACCTAGCACAGCGCTGGCACTGCATGGCGTTAGTAATTATTACCAGTAGATGTTTCTGATGTGCAAGCTAAGGAGATGCCACCTTCAAAGCGAGCATAGACACAGTCGTGGCGTTGGGATAGAGATTGGCAGCCCCTGGTAAGCACCCACAGCCTCGGAAGCCAACTTACCAAGCCATGGACATGACGATGACCGGGAGCAGGAGCCACCAATAATAGTCGCCTCTGTCCGAGAACACGGCCATCAGCAGCCCCACCAGCACCCCGTTGTAGCCCTGCAGTCCTGCTGCGATGGCCGACCTGGGGGGCGGGGAGGGAGGGCTGCTGACGTGGGGGCTCCCCAAGGCCCAGTGTAGGGGTGCTGCCTTCTCCAACTTCCTTCTCACTCAGATTTTCCTCAACTGGGATTGACAGCACACACCTTCAAACAGATGCCCCTCCTCCCACTCCCCTAGATGGTGTGCAGCAGTTACCAAGTCATCAGGGGATGGTGGTTCCTGGTTACCAGTGTCCTAGTTGAGGGGTTTCTGCAGTGAGGGGACGGGAAGGTGGCAACGGTCCCCGCAGGATTGGCCTCTGGCCTCACGCTGACCCTGGGGCTCCTGAAACGTACTTGTCCTGGCTGAGGATGAGGGCGGTCAGGGTGGACGTCACGGTGCCCAGGCAGCCCGAGATGGCCCACCAGGGGTTCTGCACGAAGAGGCCGAGGATGATGAGCATGCCGCTGAGGGGGTTGTTCACGAACATCACCTGGGACGTGCCCCGGAGCACCCAGTCCAGGAACTGGAAGACGGGGGATTTGTCTGGAATGGAAGCAGGCAGGGAGTCGGTCAATGCTTGGGAGGATGGCCCGGGCCAGGCCCACAGCGAGCAGAGGGAGTGAGGCGCACGCCACACCCGAGATGGGTTTGCAGGGAGCCAGCCCCCGGCTGTCGCCAGCCACAGAAGAGAGGAAACCAAGAAACCCAGAGGGCATTTGACTGCCCAGAGAACGCTCCAGACCCACTGAGAACAGTGGTGGTCTTTTTAAAAAATATATATTTTTATTGATTTCAGAGAGGAAGGGAGAGGAAGAGAGAGATAGAAACATCAGTGATGAGAAGAATAATGGATCGGCTGCCTCCCACATGCCCCACACTGGTGATCGAGCCCACAACCCAGGCATGTGCCCTGACCAGGAATCGAACCATGACCTCCTGGTTCATAGGTCGATGCTCAACCACTGAGTCATGCCGGCCAGGCAACAGTGGTGGTCTTTAGGTTGTTTTTCAACTAGCGGGTACCTGAGCTTTCTGTGCCCCTGTGGGAATGGCATGAGCTGGGAGCCAATCAGTGAGGGGACGGGAAGGTGGCAACAGTCCCTGCAAGGAGTGGCTTCTGGCCTCACACTGACCCTTCCTTTCAAGAAGATGGATCTGGAAAAAAAACTCTTGCTGCACAGGGGTCATCAAACCCATGGCCTGAGCCCTGGGGAGATTGCTTGCTAACTAGAACCTCTTGGAACAGTAGACACAGCTCTCCCGGGAGCCATCCAGGGGCAGGCATGCCCTGGACTCCCAGGGCTAACATGCCTGGCTGCACGCAGAGACGGGCTATTTGAGAGGCAACGCTGTGTGTTCAGCAATGAGAGCCCGCACACCTACAGGTATTGCATTCACATCCCAAGAGACTGTGTCTGTTCTAACAGCTAAATGCCTATCTTTGAAAGACAAACATAGTTTAGTCTACAGAGAACCACAGCCAAGTGTTTCCTGGGGGACGGCGGGAGGGGACCTCTGAAAGGCAGGGTCAGGGGTCCCTGTCAAAGAAGCTTTACCTTTGAGCCCCTCTCCGCACTCCTTCATCTCTCCTGTGACGTAACTGAGGGCGCTACTGATCCTTTTCCCGCTGGCAGCCAGGAAACTCTGCATCCGGGAAGTCCTGGAGATGCTCGTGTCCACCTTTATCTCGGCGCTCTCCTCCATGGTGTCCAGGTCCTGCCCGGGGACGAGAGACAGGCAAAGGGCTCCCACCTCTGCGCTTCTCACACCGAGAAGTGGCGCTGTGCTCGCTGGGGCCCAGGCTCAGGGTTTCATTTGGCATTCAGTGAGATTGCTGTTTAACCATCTCCATTTTTCTGTAGCCTAGAATATCCTTTGCTCATTATGTCACCTCAGTTAATATGAGCAACAACCTTGGAATCCAACAAGACAATATCTTTATTCTCATTCTGTGGATGAGGGCTCAGGCATGGAGAGGTGTTCTTATTTGCAGACATCAAGGTCAACCATGAATTGGGATTTAACCAGATCTTTATATTCTTAAGAAAAAAATTACTTCTACTATGCCACATGCTTTCCAGAAGAAATCTCTCCCCCCCACCTAGCATTAAAATGCAACTGCTCATAAAATACAGTAGAATTGGGATTTAACCAGATCTTTATATTCTTTAAAAAACAATTACTTCTACAATGCCACATGCTTTCCAGAAGAAATCTCTCCCCCCACCTAGCATTAAAATGCAACTGCTCATAAAATTAAACATGCAGAGATTCTGTTTTTGAAAATGGGCTCTAGCTTGTTTCTTAAATGCTTAAACTCAGCAGTGGTTCTCAACCTTCTGGCCCTTTAAATACTGTTCCTCATGTTGTGACCCAACCATAAAATTATTTTCGTTGCTACTTCATAACTGTAATGTTGCTACTGTTATGAATCGTAATGTAAATATCTGATATGCAGGATGGTCTTAGGCGACCCCTGTGAAAGGGTCGTTCGACCGCCAAAGGGGTCGCGACCCACAGGTTGAGAACCACTGGCTTAAAGGCGGCTGGATTTGGAAGATGGGGGTAGGTGTGGGTGGGGAGAGATTAACCAAAGAATTTGTATGCATAACCCATGGACAGACAATAGTGTGGTGGAGGTCTGAGGGAGGGGAGTGGGTGCAGGGTGGAGAAGGGGCAATGGGAAAAAAAGGGGACATCTAAAATACGTTCAACAATAAAGATAAATTTAAAAAAGAATTCAAATAAAAGGAATATGAAACTTTATAAAGTAAACTGTGAAAAATGGACACTTTAATCCCAGGTAATTATGTTGCTGGAAATATGAATTTAAGAAAAATTTGCCCAAATGGGAGATGCCTTTCCCAGACCTCGGCTCCTTAATCTGCACAGGCCCTGTGACTGTGGGCGCTGCCCCTCGTTCCAGCCACTCATTACTTACCAGCAACTCGAGCGTGGGCTTCCGGTACTGATAGGGGAAAGGGTCTTTGGTTTGTCTCTCTTGGTGTTCACCTTTCCCAAACACTGCAGTTGGAAGGAAAAACATCGTCAATTAGGACACCTCTACCCTGGCACTGAGCAGTGAATTCTGGGGAGGCCTCGCATTGGAATATGTCTTCCCCTTTCCACCGGATGAAGCCCAGAACCTTGGCATCTTGCCGCTGGAAGCCCCAATCTTTTCCTTTTAATGGCTATGAACCCATTTGGGGAAAAATGAACATCCTCATGTCAACATTTCACAGGAATTGGGAGTCCAGCGATTCAACTGGCCTTTAGTGAATAAGCTCTGACTTAGCTCACCCCTTATATTTTATAGACGACTTGCCCATGATCCCCGAATCCAGGGTTCTTTCTCCTCTGCTACATGGACAACACGTAGGTGTGCAAAGAAAGGAGCTCTGATGCTATTGCTCATCCAGCATTAAGCTGCCTGAGCTACGCAAGGGCTGGGTGCATTTGCCTGTGACTCTTCCCCACTGGGTGACCTTGGGCTGTTTGGGTCTCTTTTTTGGTTGTATGTCTTGGAATTTTAGCAGCAACTGCTGGTTGAAATAAGACAAGTGATATCCATGTCATTACTTGAATTGACTTTGGCATGTCCTTGTAATTCTAGAATCTCTTGTAAAGTGGCTCTAAACATATTTTTCATTATTACTAGATCATTTACCTGCCTGAGCCACGCAAGGGCTGGGTGCATTTGCCTGTGACTCTTCCCCACTGGGTGACCTTGGGCTGTTCGGGTCTCTTTTTTGGTTGTATGTCTTGGAATTTTAGGTATTTTAGCAGCAACTGCTGGTTGAAATAAGACAAGTGATATCCATGTCATTACTTGAATTGACTTTGGCATGTCCTTGTAATTCTAGAATCTCTTGTAAAGTGGCTCTAAACATATTTTTCATTATTACTAGATCATTTACTTTTAAAGATGACCAATGTCAGTAAGGTTTTATACATCATAGAAGTTACGGCCCTTGGAAGTTTCGGTATTGGTGCTCTGGTGCCCTCTCGTGGTCAAGTGTGAGAATGGCAGGCTGGGCTCTGAACGCCAGGCATTTTCACAATGAACAGGCCGGTTCCAGTCAAGATGCATTCATGAGTCCTCAGAGTGCTAACCAGTAGAAAGAATGTACCAAAGGCACCGTGTGCTCGCTCTTGAGGGAGCAAGGTCTGCAAATACCACTGTGGCTGGGCAGTTGCACGATGCAGGAGAAACAAGTTAATGTTTGGAAGCTTAGAAGGGAAGAGTGGGAAGCGAAGAGGATTCCTAGACTTTGAGGCCAGTGTGTGTGATATCTTGATGGACCCGCGGCTTCTGTTTGAAGCTCCCCACTGCCTGCTGGCTCTTCAGCAGTTGGCTAGAAAGAATGCACCAAAGGCACCGTGTGCCCGCTCTTGAAGGAGCAAGGTCTGCAAATACCACTGTGGCTGGGAAGTTGCACGATGCAGGAGAAACAAGTTAATGTTTGGAAGCTTAGAAGGGAAGAGTGGGAAGCGAAGAGGATTCCTAGACTTTGAGGCCAGTGTGTGTGATATCTTGATGGACCCGCGGCTTCTGTTTGAAGCTCCCCACTGCCTGCTGGCTCTTCAGCAGTTGGGACCACGCTCCCCCTCCCAGGCTCCTTTGCACTGGCTCTCTGCTGGGCCCTTCCCCACCCCAGCCCTGAAGCACATCATAGGAGGATGTTTAGAGGGAGGTTATTAACTTTTTGAAGTAAGCCATGCTCTCTTCCACACATGCCCAGGGCCCCTCACAAACACAAACCCGTGGGCTAGAGGGCCCTTGGGGTATCTTGATGCCCTCAACCCCGTGTGCGGTGTTTTTCCGAAACACCCCAGGCCCATGTCTCTGGCCTGATGGACCCTTGGCTTCTGTCTGAGGCTCCCCGCTGCCTGCTGGCTCTTCAGCAATTGGGACCATGCTCCCCCTCCCAGGCTCCTTTGCACTGGCTCTCTGCTGGGCCCTCCCCCACCCCAGCCCTGAAGCACATCATAGGAGGATGTTTGGAGGGAGGTTATTAACTTTTTGAAGCAAGCCCTGCTCTCTTCCACATATGCCCAGGGCCCCTCATAAACACAAACTCCTGGGCTAGAGGGCCCTTGGGGTATCTTGATGCCCTCGACCCCGTGTGCGGTGTTTTTCCGAAACACCCCAGGCCCATGTCTCTGGGTTGGCAACTTTAGGTGTGAAGGGACGAGGCTCAGAGGACCTGGAGCAAAAAGGCTCTTCTGGGAAGTGTGTGAAGCTGTAAACAGGACAGTAACCTGGGAATGAGTTTTATCCGGTGCAGCGCCCCTCGCTGGCTGGGTACTCTGGGCAAGTCCGCTCTCCTCTCTGGGGTTTGCGGGCAGAATTAGATTGTTTTCCTGCCCTGGCTCTTCATGAGGCTGCTCCAACCTTGCAGCAGGTTTGGGGAGACCCTCCACCCACACCCCCAACTCCTTCCTGTTTACCACAACATGTCCTCAGCTGCTAAAGCCACATTTCTGGCTCCACCTCTGGCTCAGCTCTGGCTGCCGCCTGGACCCCCTCTTGATCTTGGCCTGTGGGAACCCCTCCCTCCCTGCAACTCTACCTGTTCCCTCGGCCCTGGCATCTCCACCCCTGCAGCGCTGAGACCGGTTCATCCCTGCCTCCTGGACCAGTGGTTTGGGACGTGGCAGCAAACAAAATCTCACGGAGAGCTTTTAAAGGTCCTTCAGCCCACCCAGGTGGCTCCCAGCAGAATTAAATTAGAGTTTTCCAGGATGGGATGCAGGTGACTCCAATGTGCAGCCAAGTTTGAGACCTCCTGGCCTTGATCTACAGAGCCTGCTGCCTGTTTAGTGTCCTACCCAGGGAGAGAGTGGGCTCTGGAACCCATGGCTGTGGTCAGAGGTTGGCTGTGATAAGGACAGGCCTGACTCTCATGGTTCTCCCCACCCCCTGTGACTAGGTCCTAGCATCGTCCTCATTTTACAGATGGGTAAATCAAGGCCCCAGGAATGAGGGGAGGAAGCGCACACCTTTGCTCCTCCTCCGAATGGATGACCACTCGATGTGGAACACGCTCCTGGGCTTAGGGAGCACGGCCTCAGAGCCCTCATCGGCCTTGGGGCTCGTGATGACTGGCTGCTCCCCGCTGCTGCCTAGCCAGGGCCAAAACGAGACAGGTCAGCGTCCCACCCTGGCCCGTGCCCAGTGAGAGCCAAGCAGAGAGCGTGGGAAAATCACAGGCAGAAGCAGGAAAAGAAAGCCGTGTGGGTGTGGTCAGAAGCGGCATGGTGGTTGCATCATGTCTGTGAAACATCAGCTTCTCTACTTCTCCCATGAAAACTTCCACTCCTTTCCCCACAGAAACCAGACCCCAGACCCCTACCAGTGTCCCAAGACCATGAGCCAGACTCTCAGTTCCCCAACGAGGAATCCTCCCTGACTCACTTAACGGGACCTTGGGTGACCTTGGGGTGGGCCCTAGCTGACTGCCTATTTCCACCCTTCAGCCAGCTCCCTGGCTGCCATCTGAGGTGGGGAGTCTATGTGGGGTGCCCCTCAGTGCTGGTTGCACATCAGAATAACGTGGGTGCTTTAAAAATGCCTGGACCTGACCCCAGACCATTGCTCCTTGGTCCTCACATGCTAAGTGTCAGCTACCCCAGACACACCCTGGGCAGAACAATATCTTGACCCTGCAGCATCACAGACTCAGAATTTCATGGAGCTTCAAGATACTACCTCCTAGATCCAGAGAAATGAACTTGCCCAGGTCACTGGTTCACCGTGGCACAGCCAGGAACTGCACCCAGGTCTCCTGACATCCACTGCTCCCTAGAGGCTGCAGAAGGCCAGGCTCAGCTTTCGTGCCCGAGCTCTGTGGGGCCCATATTACTATGAATTCCCAGAACTGATGTCCTAGTTATAAAAGTAAAAAACCAATGGCATATCTCTTTCCTTTAAAAACAATTCTTGTCTTTGTTTGGGATGAGTTGGGAGATGGCCCCAAGTACGGTCTGACATGGTGCTGGTTCTGGGTCTCAGGGGGTGATACCGGACTGCCCGATTACATACCCACAAGATGGACCGGCCAAGAGTTGAGAATGAAAGGTGGGCACAGACACCACGAAGAAGGTGGGAGATAAAGTAACAAATTTCCTGAGGCTGTGAAAAAACTTAAGGCCAAGGTGATAGCAACTTACTAGTACTGCTCCTTTTGGGACCACACAGCTGGGCCCAGGGACTGTGGCCACACCAGGTCCCACCTGGTTGACTAGAGGGCCAGGGGATGCTCTCCGGGGCCAGCTATGAGTGTGCCGTGGCACATGGTTTGGGAAGCTCTGTCCTTGATGACCTTAGCAGCTGAGTGGCTCCTTGGCATGCCATCTGGTGTTAGAATTACTGCCCTCTCCACTCTAACAAGCCTTTTAGGTGTCCCAGGGCATGTAGCTTCACACTGGGGCCGTTCAGGACCATTTCAGGGGCATGGTCCCTGCCCTCGAGGATTTCTGCCACCCATGTTTGAATAGGCAAGAGTCCAATGGTGCTTTCTGCCCATTGACTCCGAGAAGGAAAGAACAGTGATGAGCCACAATAATCTGCTTGGAAGCACTTTTTCTGGAGTCCTGCCCAATAGGACTCACGCCTCTGCTGACTTCTATGGTACAGAAAGTGCCAGCCGTTCAAGTAGCAGGGGTAAAAGGGACTGAGGGGTAAAAGAAACTGTCAAATACAGTGTGGAAGCTCAATGCAATGTCTTTGAGAGGACCAAACAACCTCAAAGCATCTATGACATCTTTCAGAGGAAGAAGAATTGAGTAGTTGATCCTACTGAAGGTCAACCTTTTACTCAAACAGGTCCAAGCCGGTCCACTGTCTACAGGCTGTCTTTCTCAGGTGGATCGATGCTGTCCTTATATTACCTACAATGTTCAACATATGGAGCATCTGGAACCTACCATAAGGACCCATTTGTCATCCCTTCCCAGCTCCCTGTGTCTGCTATTCCTCCAGCCTACTGTTTGCGAACACACTCATACATCAAAAGGCGATTTCCCTACTATGCCAGCATGACTCTTTTTGAAGTGACACATTATATATGATCTGATTTTTTTCTATATCCAATTCTACATGGTTACACTTTGGTCACAAGTTGGGCATGTTTCCCTACATAGAAATTGAGTGTTGCAGGGCCAGTTTTGTGTGTGTGTGTGTGTGTGTGTGTGTGTGTGTGTGTGTGTGTGTGAGAGAGAGAGAGAGAGAGAGAGAGAGAGAGAGAGAGATATGCCTGTGGGTGGTAAATGGGATGATATATTTTTTCTGTGAAGTTGTGTTTTCTGTGAAGTTGACATTTTCAAAGATCATTTTATAAACTAGCAGAGGCCTTGATTGCTAGAACTAGAAAGGTTTTGAGATGATCCATTCCAGCCCTCCCATTTTACAGATAGGGAAACTGAAGCCCAGAGAAGCTGAGTGACTTGCTGGAGTCCACACAGCTATTGTCTCACCTTCCAGTCCAAGGCTTATTTCCCTAGACCCTCCTTCCTCTGAGGGATTTCTTTTTGGCCTACCAGTTCAACCCTGCTTTTGGGGGATTCAAGAGAACCCTACAAGTTTTCCTGTGCCTTCCTACCAAATCTGCACTTGGAAGGGGGTTGTGAGGGACATGGACAGAGTACAGGTGGAGGTCAGGTCCACAGGAACACTTGGAGGTAAATTATTTGGAAGTCCATTTTTTTTAAGGAGGTGGGGTATGAGTCATTGTAATTCTGAGATAAGCAAGACCTCATCCTCAGAGTAAATGCTTTAAGCTCTTTCTCTCCCCCGCCCCCGCCCCCCAACCCAGTTCACTAGTTGGTCAATGGACTTGCCCAGCCTTTGCTTTTGCTTTGTTTTTGGCTCATGCCATGGAGAAGACATTAATAAGCATAAATGAGTTGGTACCATCTATAACCTCAAGATACCTTATGATGATTTCATAAATGAGGTTAAAGAGTACACCAGTTAGAGCAGGCTATCTGTGATTGGGGTAACACTTGATCTTCCTCCAGAATGACTGTGAACTCTCTTCCCCCTGTTCTCAACCCAGCTCACCCTCAGAACTGTTAGTCTCCCTGACTTTGATCTCTCTCATTTCAATCCATTCTATGCTCCAACTACTGGACCATGTCATTGCCACTCTCTTACTCAATAATCTACATAGCTCCCTATTGCCAAGAGTCTGATACTCATGCGCCTCTGCCCAGCTTTCCATATATTCCACAATATGACTATCTTCATCATCCAGCTCTTCCATTTCCTTCCCCTCACACACCCTGCCTCGGTCCTTATCGTGGGCCCTGTATGTTTCCTTCCTCTTCTTGCCTAATTTCTATCGACCCTTCAAGGTCTGGTTTATGCTCTACTTCCTCCATGATGCCATCCTTGACTTACTTGGCCATGTGGATCATTCATTCTTTGGATTCCCACTGCATTTGCATAAGACTCTAGACTACATCCTTTGAAGCTAGGGCCACAGTGAAGGTTTATATTGATAGTTACCATGCACACGAAAAGTTAATAAATCCTTTCCAATCCAATTAACTACTTGGAATTATCAATCAAGTGACCTGTGAGTCTGGGCATTGATAGAAGGAAACTGAGGCCCATAGAGAAGTGGCCCCCTGAGGTGACATGTCAGTCAGTGGTGGAGCCAGGTTTTGACCTGGTATTGATGCTTTACTCCTGCACTGCAGGTGTTTTCCAGACGACTGGAGCCTTCCCAAATGATATCAATGGACTTGCGACATTTTTAATTTAAAATATGAATTATTTCATATCCCAGAAGGAGAAACAAATAAAAAACACCACCCAAAACAAAACACAAAAGCCAACCTGTGTATCATTACATTTGTGACACCCAATGAAAGCCCAGGGAAAGTTTTGGGCCATTGTACACTGGCTTCTTCCCTTGGAGCAACATTTCCATCATCCCTCTCCTCACATCCTCTTCTCTACCACCCCTGCTCCCCATTATCTATGGCAAACACAGCTATTTGATCATAAGCACTTCCTTTATCTATTTCAGTACAGCCTCAGAATTCTTCTCAACACCGACAATCAACCAATTAGTTAGCACTGGCACTTGATAGTAAACTTATTTTCCCCCTCTAACCTTAAGAAAGATGTGGATGCTGCACAAGTTTGAGAGGAGGGGTATGTCAAGGCTGGGGGTTGACAGCAGGCAGAGGCCTGGCCATGGGCACTTCCAAGCCTCACAGGATAGTCTTCGCTCAGCAAGTTCACCGAGGCTCATATCCTTTGGTGCCAGTTTTGGAGGAGATCACATACCTGACAGGTTGTCCATTCTCTGATTAGATAGCTTCAGTTTCCTAGAATGTCATTTCTTAAGACACTGCTATCTGTCTTCCAGAAATATCCACTCTCTGTAGCTACTCAGAGTAGGTCTACGGTAACCTAAGATGGCTATGTAAGAGAGAGCCACCAAGAAAACAGGTTGTTACACTGGGATATTAAGATATTTGTGGATACTGAGATGGTCTCGTTCTATAGGCATGCCTGTGGAAGGCATCAGGACCCGAGGAGAGCGGCTTAGATGCCTGGACCAGGTGCCGTTGCCCTGGAAGCAGCAGGTAATGACTCTTAGGAGGAAGGTGTTCAAATCCACCCCATTAATACCCCACAGCTCAACTCAACATGGTGCTTCCCTGGGGACCATCCTATCAGAGCCATGAGTTACAGAGTTGTGGAAAGGATGACAAATAATACGAGGCTCACCCAGTGGGCAGGTGTGGCAGTAAGGGGATTCGAAGGCTGATGGATTCACTTAGTTCCACCACCAGGTGAGCAAGAAGAGCTCAGGGGTGGGAGTTAGGACAGCTGGACCTGTGTCCAGGCTCTTTTATGATCTGGTCAGTTCCCTGGACAAGCTGTGGTTTCCTCATCTACAAAGTGAGGGGTTTGCATTATTATTTTTAAAAGAGCTCTTCCAGTTTGAAGCTTCCGGAATCTAAATTCACTTTAGAATTCTTAGTAAAGATTCCTGTCTCAAGACTGGCCTCCCCCAGACACAAGAGCCCAACAGAAGAAAGGAACAGAAAAAGACCAGCCTTTTTTCTTTCTCTGCCTCTGAAAAGACAGATGATCCTGTTGCCTA